TTTGTTTCTAATCTTGTTCCATTAAAAAAAACATCCTTTTATGTTAGCACAATTTCATTTAAAAAGAAATTTCTTTTTACTGAATCATCAAAAGTCACCAATTTTTTTTAAAGTCATCCAAAGTCATGATGAGGCTAATGGTTTAATTATAAATTTTATTATAAAAAAGTCTAAGGCCTTTTTGACTTCATCAGCATCTGTAGAAAGGCTAGTTTACCAAATTTGCTAAATAACGTTTTTATAACGAACTGTTTGAAAAATAGATATTTTATATATAATAAAGTTATTTAAAATATTAATTATAAATATATTAAATCTCATTTGTTGATTAGGGTAGAAAAGAGCTTCAAATGAATGCCCATGATATCAATTTATATTTAGACATCATAAATAATATTCCATATTGTACCACAGAATTTGGTTGAACTTCTTAACAGTATAAATATAATGTTTATATTAATTTATATGCAAATGTCTTATGATATTGTACTTTATATCAGAGACCTGCAGAGGTATCATCTGCACGGCCCGGCCCGGATTTTTTTTTCAAAAATATTTTATGGCCCAGCCCGGATTCTTATAAAAAAATTATTTTTTAAAATTATATTCGACCTGGTATATACAAAAAATTCACCTATTTAGTATTATTATCATATTTTTCTGCGAGTATTATCATTTAATAAGCAAGCATATTAGCTAATGTTGTTAAACTGCTCGTTTTGAGCCGATTTTTTAAAAACGGCTAACTAATATTTTAGCCAGAAAAATATTGACTAAGCCTCGAAATTTTGATACCATATGTCTAGACCTTTGCTCTTTCCATAAACAAAATTTTCAGGCTTGCGTAATTTCTGGATAAAATACTGTGTTAGCAGTTTTTAAAAATCGGCTCAAAACGAGCCATTTAACAACATTACATATTTTATTTTATTTTTTATTCTAAACAGATATTTAGTATATTACAAATTGACACTATAAAAAAATTTTTAAATAATATTTTGAGAATATACTATATAATTGTATTTATAAAAAATAAAACTGATATTTTAATTAATAAAAAATATAACATATATTATATAATAATGTATTTATTATCTATTATCCTTTGCGTATTTATTCCATGGCAGGAAAACTATTTATATTATGAAATAGATACTATGAGTGTTAGCTAGTGTTAACTTTCACCCAACATTATATTAATCATAACTATATATAATCATTATAACCATATCCAATTGACGAATATAATAATTCATGTTGCATAATTTAAAAAATTTTACCGCCCGGCCCGGGTACTTTTTTTGCCGGGCCTGCAGGTCTCTGCTTTATATAGAACATAAAAGCCTTTAAATATTAAGTAAAACCTTTATATTTTTTCAAACTAAAAAAATTATATTAAAGAAAACAATTATATTATATGTTAACAAAGTTTCTTATTCTAATTTTTAACTTTACAATAGAAATTGTAATTATAATTACTCTAGAAAATCACAATTACAGGAAAAAAAGGCTATTATTGAGATAGTTGATTGTAACATTTTAAAAGAGGATCCATGATTCCCATTAATTTGTGAATTTTTTTTACCTAACACTTAAAAAATTGCTAGGGGGACTAGCCCATTGGTAGAAACAACTATAGGGATAAAGTGAAAATCAGAAAAATCATGGTACTTTCTAATTTTTGACCTTACAGCTGTAATATTCGGATCAATGTTTGGGTTAAAAAAAAATTGGGAGGCACAAGTGAAATTCCAAATAAAGTGTTTTTCTCTAAAAGCTATATTAGAATAAAATTTAAACCATCTAACCTATCCCCAAGTCACGATCCCTGGTTGCCAGAATCAAATAATCGAATCGAATTTATATAAAATTAAAATAATTTTGATCATTTAAAGTGTATAATATTTAAATTATATTTAAATTTAGTTTTCTCATTAATTATTTAAAAACTACCTATATATTAACCTCGTCTTCTGCTAACTAGGAAAGATTAAACAGTTAATCTTATTTATTACAAATTTTTTTTACTAAATAAAATTATCTATTTAATTTATTCATTTTTTTTAATCAATAATTTATATAAGTGTAAGTATATTTTATATAATTCATTATTTTAATTTAATTTAGAATATTTTTTTGGAAAAAACAATTTTTAAAACGCTTTCTTATAATAGGGATACTTTTTAAATTATTATATTTATCCAAATATTATTATTAAAAAATAGTAATCAAAATGATCCTACCGATATTCTATTTAGTCATCTATCCAGTAATCCTCGCTTTATTATTTTGTGTTAATCTTTACTTCATCTATACTTTATCAAAATATAAGTTGAGAGAAATTTTATTGACTTGGCTGAGAATGGAGTATCTAAACATATTGCAAATACTTATCTTCACTTATCCTTTCGTAGACATGCTAAGTTTTTATAGAGGTTATACTTTTGCCTCAACTTACGAATATGTCCAATATTTTGGCAGATGGCGATATTGGTTTTTCCCATCTCTTTACTCCACGTATTTATTAATCAATTTGATGGCTGGATTGGAGATAGCAAGGGATTATCTGAATCTGCCATATATTTGTATAACTTCGAATGCCAAATATATTCGTGGTATCAAGATTGGGGTCTTCGCTTTGGCACTATTCGTACACCTCCACAATATTGTCTTATTTACGGTTAGAGAAACTAGCACTATGAACGATAACAACATCAAGATTCAAACTTACTCCATTATCCTGGAAGAAAATTATCGAAACGTTAATTTGCTTATCATGATTTGCCTGAGAATACTGACATTCAACTTAATTCCCCTGGGCCTTCTGACTCTTTTAATAGCAAATTTGGCATACTTATATCTCAAAAAACAGCTTCATCTTACTAGAACTTTATGTCCGTGGATCGTAGCCAAATATAAATACAATAAACCCCAACCTTGCAAACACTTGATATCATTGAACAATAAAGATATGATTCTAGAATTTACTTGTCTTCAAGAATTGTCCAAAGATTTAGATTCAAGAGACCACCCAAGAATAAAATGCAGTAACTTTTCTGACAAATGCAAAAACTACTTCGAAAACGGTGGGGACCTAAAAATTTTCCTCATCTTTACGCTAGCTTATTATCCTTTGTACTTAACGGATCTGATATCCAAAATATTTTCAATTACGAAAAACGGAAAATTCTTCGACGAAATGTATTCGTTCAATGTAATCCATAATATTTTCAAACTATGGTCGATTTGCGTGTATAGCGTACTTTGGTTATTGATTTTGAAGATTAATAAAGCAAGATGATTTGGTGAAGATATAATGTTAAATCTCTATATATTTATAATGAAGGATGCCTTTTTGGACCCCTCTCGTTTATTTTTCGACTCTTAGCCTCCTTCATTTTGTAAGAGGGCCTATAAAAATACGTCGAATAATTAGATTTGTATAGGAAAATTTAAATAGAATAATTTTATTATTGGTATTCGTAAGATCGAATAATTTATATTTGAACAAATAATAAAATCATTATTCGATTCAAATATTTTGTAAAAATTGACTTTTCCCGATATAGATAAAAATACAAGCAAAACCATATATATGTCGTATTGGGCATGGAATTCATGGGAATTCGAAATCTCTCAATTTTAAATCATTCGAGCGATTTTTAATTTAAAAATCTGATTTTAATCGGATATATTTTAGTATGTATATATTGTACCCACGCTGTGAATTTCGAACAATGACCGTGAACTTCAGGACTACTCTTAATTTATAGTGATTTTAGTGTGAATTTTTTATATAAATTAAAAAAATTCACAAATAGCGAAAATTATCTGAAAATTATAGGGTTTCAATCTAGTTATGTCGATCCAATCTTTAACGCTGATTTTATAGTAAACGTGTTATGTTCAAGCGTTGCGCTATTTAACCTATCGAAATATGATTTTTCATATTTTTTTTAAATAATTATTGTATATTATATTTCAAAAATAGTATATACCTTTTTATCAAATTAGCTATTTTTTATAATCGTATCGTATTTATCATTATTAAATACGTTTTTCAAATTTTATCATAGTGTTATCATCACAACACTCCCTATTTATAAATTATACTCATTTATTGGCTTGGTTTATAACTCCGTTAAAAGCATCGGTTGAATACAACGCATTTACTATAAATTCGTTTTAAGTCTTATATATATATTTTAAAGTCGTTAGTCCCATTATTTTTCGCATTACCTTATAGCTTTTATTATTTGATCTTCTCGGAAAACAAAAAATCAAATTTAAAAAATAAATAACATGAATTTGATAAATTAAGCTTATTATTAACATTTACATTTCATTATAAATATTCGAACAAAACATTTAATTAATTAAACTTTTTAAATAAATATAAGAAGTAGATTTGACACCGTTTTATATTTTAAAAAAATTTATGGCAAATCAATAAACACCATTATAATCTATATTAAAAACCAGGCATTGATTAAATTTTCGAATGCGTATTCACATATCTTCCGCCATAGTATCTAAATCAAAATCAATAAAAAAGATTAAAAAAACGTATATTACATATTCTTATCATTATATCCTTTTTCTAATTTTTCATTTAAATTTTAATACAAATATTTAATCAAATCATGTCTGATAATAATTAGGTGGGTTCTGCATTCGGGTTATAATCGGTGGGAATCTCTGCTCCGGTATCTGATTCCCTTTCCCTCGAATCAGCTGGCGTAGTAAATAAAGTATCGGCATACCGCGTGGAAAAGAGACCGAAAACTAGAGCCAAACCAGTAGAGCTTTTATGTAAAACGAATTAACAAATTAATAAATCTGATTGGTTAATTTCACCCCACCCTCCCCCCTCTCTTTCAAAATATTTTTTGGTACATACAAATTTTTCAGATTGTATTTACATAAAATAATAATAATTTAACCTTAAACCGACGGCTAGAAGAGCGTAATCCAAAAGCTTATCCGGTCTTAAATAAATGCGTAAAGAAGCGAAACTGTACGAAAAGCTTTTCACCCAAGAGGAAGATAAGCTAGATACATGGGCCCAGGCCAAGGATGATACGCAAACAGAGGATTGGTTTAGAGAGGGTAAATTATTGAGCCATAAATAGGAATAAATCTATGAATTATAAGTAAGGAGAGGATAGAGGTAATAAAATAATTGTAGAAGAAAAAACATTAATTTTTGTTTTTATTGTTTTGCAAGGTTAAGTTTTTCCCAGATTACACATCAAGGCTTATAGCTAATCGTTTTCGACGAGAATGGACTAAATAGGAGAGATTTGATTTGATATAATATATAATTCATAGTTAAAAAGTGAGCAAAAACATAAAAAAAAATTAAGAATAGGAGTCTAATGAAAAGAGAAAATTGAATTTCTTAAAATTGGGGGGGGGGCATAATACATGATATTTTTATATCAAAAATATGATTCTTGAAAAAAAATCTGTATGTGGGAGATTTTGTGATATATTTCAAAAATGTGGTAATTGAGTTGATAGATTTTGACTTTAAAAAATATTGTGGGAGACCTGGAAACCCGTTTCATAAGCAATATACTTAAAAGAATAATATATTTTGGTATTGCAAATCGTGTACATATGTTAAATTGTTTCGAGTTTCCATAAGGCGCTTATAGTATAAAATTGGAACCAGTGGCATGCTATATCCAGCCCGAAATTTTTTTTAGTTCGGGTAAGAATTAACGGGCCGGGCAAAAAGTAGAGAATGCCCGGCTTGCTTAATAAAGATTAGAGAATATAATAAAATTATTATAAAGCCTATATTTGTTAAATTAGTGGCTTATATTTTTAATGAATAAATTATGATCTACTATTCATAAAAATATCATTTCCTTTTCCTGCATTTTATTTGCTCAATCCTCAAAGTTATCAGATTTTCCATAGAATAAATTTTGTAGATTTACTTTTAATAATGATATAACAGACCTTTAACCGTTTTTTCTTTCTCAGAAAAAATGAATTAAAAAATATATGCAGGTTGTATTTATCGAAAAAAATAAAATAATAGTTCTTTACAGATTGTTCATTATTTAAATCGTCACATTCCTTTTTGCTTTTTATATTGGGGTCGATATTTTTCATAGTCAAGTAGGCTAACGTGGCCTGGGTAAAAAAAGTATAGGTTCGCATCGCCCCGTCTGCGCCAACGTAATAAGAGAGGAAAGTGTTCAGGTCTGTACATGGTATACGAAATATATTATGTTATCGTCATGTGTTTATTTTTCCTGGCGATATGTTATAATTTTCAACTTTAAAACATTTTTTAAGTGTATTTTTTTAAAATTTTATCCAATTTTAGGCAATATGTGTTCCAGCAGATGTGGAATAGATACATACCTACCCCATAAATTTTAGACAACTTTTTATATAAATATTGAGTCATTTATTAATTCATGATAAAATCTATTGAATTCTAAAGATTAGTAGTTTAAAAATAAATTTATAAATATTTTTATTTTTAATCACATTATAATTTTAAACAAATAAAAAAGGGATAATTCTTATTTAAAAAAAACCAAAGTGGGACTAAAATTTCCCCCAAAACAAGCATAGTTTAATTTTAAAATAATAATTTGTACTTATTTTTGATAAAAAAAAATTCATTTAGTTTTGATGTGAGCTCGGATTTTGCTGCCTATATTTTTTTAAAATAACTTAAATTTATGCTTGACATATTATGTCCAAAGTAAGTGATAAAGAATAGTGTAAAAACATAATTAGTTTAGAGTATTAATTTTTATCTCCGCAATATCATGCGGATTCGAATTGAAATTTTTCTGGAAAAGAAGAGACACAGGTGAAGTCTCAAATTAAGAATTTATATAAAGATCAAGGGTCTTCAGACCATCATTTGACGATAAGTTAGCAGCTTCCCATTAAACTATGATTAATTATTGAATTTCGCGTGGCCTATGACACATATTAATTACTTATCTGATAAGGTTATCTGGGTTACAAACAATATTTCGAATCATTCATAACCCCTTGTAAAATCAATATTTTATAATATTTGAATATATTCAAGGGAATTTGATGAGAATAATATTCTAAAAATCAGAAATTATTCTACATATGCTGTTTTCGGTAAATTTAGATTTTTTTAAATATAAAAATATATTGTAAAATGAATTAAAGTTGAAAATATAATATAATGCCAGAAAAAAAAACACATTGACGCTATTGCGAAGCATATAGTATATAGATATTATATTTTAGATGGGAAAAAATCATAAATTTTTTAAAATAGTAATACACCAAGGAGACTAAGTTCGGAGTGGTGATTCGAGGAGATATATAAATCATATTTTATTATTGGCTCATGTACTAGATAACGATTTATTGTACAATTTTGAATACAACTTTTTAAATAAAAAATATGCAGGTTTTTTGAAAGACATGTTCTAACGACTAAGTCCTTATAATGAATAGCAATATCAAAATGTTTAATAAGATTTCCGTGGTGTATTTCTAACAACATTGTAGGATAAAAGATTGCTAAACTAGTCAAAGTTTTTAATGTGATTTATAGGTTAATTATTGTAGATTCGCTATGTAATCTAAATTTCAAGTAAAAACTAGTTTGTCTGATAAGAAAATATCTTAAGAGGCTGAAAATTTTTAAAGGTTCTATATATGACAGGGAAAAAAAATATTTTCTAAAAGTTTGAAATAAAATAATCATAATAAACCTCCAGATATGTAGCTTGAAAATGGTTTCCAAAATTCGCAAGAGGAATTGACTAAAAAACAATCAACAAGGTCGTAAATCTTCGTAACAAAAAAATAGGTTTATACATTATATATATTACCGTCAATTCGTTTAATCATACAATACGCTACGCGTATACAATTATTTCGCCAATTCGCATATCGCCAATATATAAATTAAAAATGCCTTAAATGTTCATGGATAAATTGTCTGATATTTTTAAAAATAGCATTCTACAAATATTGGAGTACATTTTGGGTTAAATCCAGATTTTCCATATTTTTTTAAAAAATGCATGAATGTTCTATCTACCAACTTTAAATCATTTATTTCGCGAGTTTTAAAAGAGATAGAAAAATCGAAATTTACGAACATTTGTAGAATACCTACACTATAAATTTTGCAAGATATTTAATCTATGATAAAGGCCACATTTCTACTAAGGGTGATGATGGTTAAGCATTGCGATGATCTTAGCTTAACGATAGCACTGCTTTATTTGCTTTGTATACATTTAAGCATCGTGATGAAATCTCGCGCTATTATAGCGATTACTATAAATAAGGCCTAAAGAAGTAGGCGAATATATGCGACTTAACTGTGAAATATTTATAAGCAAAAAAAATGTATGTGATTTCTTTTCTTTTGTTTCCTTGCACTACTTCTCAACTCCTTATATAAATATATATACCTTAACCCTCTATTTCACTTTGTAAACCTGTACTTATATATTTTACTATAAATATTGTTATAAATGATTTTATGCCATAATGTACACAATATATTCTAGGCATCAACAACACCTATATTTATAATAAAACGTCAATCAATTTCTATCGACGCGACAATATATTTCCATAACCATGGCAGTTAATGGTGTAACTAATATTAAATTATGACATTTTGGCTAGTAAAGAGTGTCATCTATACTTAAAAATGTAAAGGAATAGACGAATGGCTGTAAACATTTTATATATACTTCTTCCTTCTATCTCCTAAGATATTTTCATCTTATATGGTAAATATTCTATAATGCTTTCTATTGTATTCGAATGCATTTTACTTTCGAGTTTATGTAAACCTGTGGGAAATGAATTTTCTGTGTTCCAGATATCAGTCTGATTTTTTAAAATTCTTCCGAGAAGTACTTTACAACGTCATAATTTTTAAATAGATACCAATAATATTCAATTCACATGTTTTTATTTACTCTTGCTCCTACAGCTACTTTTTACAGTGCCACCAATTACATCACAAGCATTATTCTCGTGCGCTTTAGCAGAAAAGTGTCATTTCGCTTTTACCCCAAAATCAAATTCATGATGGCATATATTAATATAAAAAATTTACGATTTTTACACTCTAGATCCATTCTACTAAAAAAATTTATTTACAAAATTTATTAGATACAAAAATTTACTAATGTTTTGTAAAAATAATGTATTGATAATGTTGTAAAGATTCGGATATAATTACGTAATTTAAGTTGCAAATATTTGCCAAAATATCTTAATAACAAAAGGGTGAGCAGTAAATTAATCCCTATTTCAGTAAAAGCTTTGTACTTAATCCTGAAGTATAAAGCTGCCGTTTTCTGAATAATCACATAAAATTAAAAATTGGCCTCCTTCTAAGCGTTATTTTTGATACAACGATTGGTTTAAAATAAATGAATTAAATAAAAGGACTCCATTTTTTAAAAAAAGGTATTGACAAATTCAATCTATAGGCTCGGTGATTTTTTCGAGCGTTTATAGATACCCATTGTTTGTATAAATTTGATGTCAAAAGAAAGAAACAAAATTATTCGTTTGCGTAAATACGTTGATCCTAAGCAATTCTCATTTGCTCAAATAACAGGATGCTGAGGTGAATCTATTATAAAAGTGTAAGATAATTTTGTACGTTTTAAAATATTATTAATTATAGAAAATTAAATTATCATTTATATTAAAATGTTGCCTGCAAAATGGAGGAAAAAACTAAAAAATTTTAAAAATGCGAAGAAAGTGAAAAATTATTCAAGAAAAAAAATATTATTTATTTTTTTTATAAAATTCATGATTTTAAGAATTTTTCGATACCTGAACCCTCCACTTTTAAAAAGGGTTCAGGTTAGGCAAAAACATACAGGTTCGGGTTCACATTCCTGATTTAAACATAAGTTTCATTCTTTATATAATATATATATTTCTTTCAAATTATCTATAATTAATCTTTTTTTGTGCGAGATTTTTTTTCCATCTTTTTTTGTGCGAGATTTTTTTTCCCCGCCTTTAGTAAAAATGCAATCTCTTTTGCCTGACATGATTCGGCTTATTTCGTATGTACAATAAAATTCTTGGGACAATTTAATTGTATATTCGTCTATAGTCTTTCTAGGCATGAGATTAGGTGTGAAAGGAATTCTTTTTCCACCATCAAGTTTGTAACAAATTTCATATTTTTTGGACATTGTTTCAATTTTATCGATAAAATTTTATATCTGTTAGTTTTAGACAAGTAGGAACTTTTTAAATATTGATTCTGATATCATCTTTATCAATAGTGGCTGGTTGATTCCATCGCTTGCTTCATCTTGTTAATTTTTTTTAACTAGATACCTTTTTTTGCCAATCTTTTTTTCCATTGGAGATTTCCCAATTTATATCAATGATGTATTTATTAATTTAAAAGTATAATCTTTGTACGTAATTGATATTAAATTTGTTATTAACAATTGTGTAGTTTATAAGATATGATTAAAAGTGAAGGCCGGATGATGGTAAAAATACGTCATTTTTACCACTCTGGCTCCTTATATCTCCAAAAATCTAAGTATTAGGAGCAGTTTAGACCAGCCCCCCCCCATTTTTTAAAAAAAATCAGAAATCCCCCTCTGCAATTGCAATCGCAGTTTTAAAATTTCTTCCGCATTAAAATTTCAGCATTTTATAGTTATTAATTTATAAATAATAATTTGACAAGATAAAAATTAAAGAATGTTTATTTTTTTTATAAAATTAATATATTCTATAAATAAAGATGTTGTTTTAAATTATCTCGTTTATCGGTCGGTGCGCTTTGCGTATAGCCATTTCGCCTAAAAAAATGCCAAAATATAACATTTATTAGAATATGAAATATTTGCTAATTTATTATATAATTTGAATATTTGCTATTATATTTGGCCTTTTGGCACTTATAGGCGAACGGCATTTTGCTAATTTGCTAGTATTTTTTCTCATTACCTATGAAATTTTCTAATTTATCATTAAATTTGCTCGCCGGTATCCTGCAGGCATTCGGCCCGTAAAAAATTTTTTTTCGCAATTTAAAAATTTATCTCCAAAAAATATTTGACCAAATTTTATTTGAACATTTTGATCTGGCAACCCTTGTTAGGAGGCTAAAATTTTAGCTATTTCTTAGTTAAATTAACCTTTCTTTGCTTGCCAATGATAAAAAAATTAGAAGGGAGTTGGCAAAAAATCTCATTTTTCATATTCTTCATTAATAAATAATAAAAAATTTATTTTATACTCAACTATCCTAATTTAATTGGTAATGATAATTTAATAAAAAGTATCTTGTATTTGAGATATTCTCATTTTAGCAAAAGATATAAGAATCTTTTATCTTTTTGATATTTTGAATAAGATACTAGTATCTGTATTTAAGATCCATTATGAATCTGTACTGTATCTAATTTTTTTTTCCAGATGACCTGTCCAGCTCTGATTGGTATGGCACATTACTATTTATTTTTTTAAATCAGATCCGAGAAAAAAAAATTGATTTCTTTAGAAAATCCACTTCGGTTTGATCTGAACCTAAAATAAGGTTCAGAGTTTCAAAGAAAATGTCCAGATTGGACCTAATCGAGTGAAGAAGGATTCTAACACTTCATTTTAAGTGTTAGCTAATGTAAGCCTTTATCAATAAAAAAAATGGCATTTCATTCATTATAGTAAATAATATTGTTAAAAATAAAAAAACTTTTAAAAGAATAAATTATTTATTAACCAGCGATTTGTTAATTTTGATATCCAGCATCTCATTATCTGCACTATTATTTGCTATCAGCTTAAATACGACGTTGGCCAAAGTGCTGGACAGTCCGTGAATGTCATTAACGAGAATTTCCAGACCAGAATTATGATCATGATCATGAAAGGAACCAACGTAATTTAAATCGTCTAATATACTGTGATAAAATCTTAATTTTTATTTATATTTTGAAAACAAAATAATTTTTAGTTAAATTTTATAAAAAATATATGCAATAAAATAATTTATAATTTCATTTTGGATAATAATAGCTCAACTCATGAAACGTTTTTAATAAAATTTAATCACTTTTATTGGCAACCTATCAAATCTGATAAGTCGTGTTTATATAGACAGACTAATAAAAATACAAAATCAGCTGTGCTATGGTAATGACAATTTTCATTAATTAGACAATCACAATTTTGCACTTATATCTAAATTCTTCCATATTTAAGTAACAAGTAACGTACTCCAAAAAAACCTTTTTACTCATTACCCATTAAAAATAGTAACGAATGACGCTATTTTTTTTCTGAAAATTTAACTATAACGTACTTTAAATGATATATCCCACCTTATTACTCGCGCTATTTCTTCAGACCACTTCTCCGGAGTGTAAAATTTGTCTCCTCCACATAATTAAAAATAAAACTTGTTTTTCTCCCTAAATCCATCTTAGTCTTAAAAAGTTATTATTAAAATTTAGCATTCGCTAAAAACTTCTTGTTGGTAATATTAATATTTCCAAAAAATATATAAGAAAAGATTTGTTTAATAGCAGTAAAGTAATGTGGGGAAGAACTAAAAAGTGCACTCAATATATCCAAATGATAAAATCTAGCTGCAATGCCAGCGTTCAGCGATTATGGTAAGAGTTTTAAAAAAAACATAAAATTGTTAAGAAAAAAGAAGGCTAGAGATAATATTACTGATTGGCGAATTCGTTAAGGTGATCCGCTACGTAAATTCCGGGTATCGAATCATCAGATTTGAGAAAATTTTGCAACGATGAAGGCGGCAAAGGTTGATTACTATCATTGACCGGTTTCACGGAAATTTTAGCGTGAGATTTGGAGAACAGTTCGAACATGTGTTTTATCTATCAAAAAAAATCAAGATTTATTTTTGAAGTATTAATTATATTGTATTAGAAACTTAGACTTGAAATTTTGCTTTCTAAAAAAGTTACCTATTGCGATTTTTATAGTTTTATTTTAAAAAAATCAATATTAATTTTACCATGAATTTAAAAAAATAATAGTCTAGGGGAAATAATATTTTTATATATTTGATGCCTTAGGAAGATGTTAATTCTTATGAATATGAGATGAGGGGATGTTTTGTGGAAGGGGTAATGAAATCATTATGTTCAAAATAAAATTATTTTTTAAAAAATAATCTGTAACTTCTTTATCAACAACTTGGTGTTTGTTTCTGGATAAAGGGTCGGTATGTATATAATAATTCGAATGAGATGCTAATCCCACTTGACCAATCTCAATGATGTGAGATATGTGGGACGTGTTGATAATAGCCGATTGATTTATGATATCCGAATTTAATTTTTGGGGAAACTCATGGCGAATGTTCATATCGTGGATTAATTTGGTAGAGCCAAGGTAATCGTATGCTTCCTAGGAAGGTTTTATATATTATAGATTATTTTTAACAAATAATAAACATAAAACTCAATCTTTTTGGTATTTATATATATATTTAAAAAAATAAAAGTTTGAACTGAAAATGCCATTAAAAATTATAATTTTTGCTACTTTTTACGAGCATAAATACTAAAAAAATAAATTTTAATATAATCTTAATTTCAAAAAAAATATTTATTTTAGCAATTCATATTATAACTATAAACTATTCTACAAAATATTAGCTTCAGAAGTTTTAATTTCTTAAAGATACATGACAAAATAATTACATGTTCGAATTTTCAAACATTGGTAAATAACGGTATCTAAAAATGAATAATTTTTTTAAAATTTTTTTAGATTTTTCTTTATAATTAACATGAAATCCTCTCATATGAAATGTTGATGTGTTTTTATAATCTTTGTTGACAAACTTGAAATTGTTATAAAATAACTCCCTCCCCCCTACAAAAAAAATAAAATAAAATATAGGCCCAAAATAAACTTTTGTCTTCCCCTCTCAACTGAAGCTTCATAACTAGGGGTTTGTAATTACTACCAAATAATATAAGAGACATTATTCAGTGTGGAATGTGGGTTCAGTTTTTTTTCAAAAACATATCTGGAACATATAGATTAAAAGGGAAAAAATCCACTGAACCAAATTTTTTTTGTAAAAGTGTCCCCAGAGATCTTTGAAACATTCATAAATGAAGATTTTTTTGTTTCGTTGGAAAGGCAGTCTGCCTTACCCTGTATTCACAGATAGCGCGAAACAAAATAGGTTTTATATGCAAAAGTATCATTGCTTAGGGTTCCTATTTATAATATAAGAAAAGATCGAAATTAATTAGAATTTCTAGTTTAGTCAAATAGATAAATAAAATTAGAAGGTGATCAACCCTTTCCTTGTTAGCGCGAATTCACGGGGAAGTATAGAAAAATACAGCATATTTAGTATACTTCTAAGAATTGAGGTTAAATATTTTTTTAAAATTTCAACATCCATATAATTATATCTGAAAGATGCTTAATTGGAGAGATTGAGTTGGTTTAATAAGACCCCGACCTTGGGGATCTAAGTAAACTAGAGCTCTAAAATTTTGATTTAGGTTTCATTTAATCAGTGCTAATTTTCATAAATTATCAAATGATGATTGATAATGTGTGATTTGATTATAAAATTAAATTACATTAATTGTATTTTACCCCGTTGAAAAACACAAACATAACATTTTTATCGAGAGAAGCGTTCGCGTTTTCCGCCTTAGAAAAATATTCATTGTTAGTTCTGTCCAGCGCTTCGGCTACGAGCAACAGAGTTATAATGCTTAAAGCGGAGCTTTCGGCAGCGGGAGCGATTTGGTCGAACATGGTTAGGGCGTCCATCTTAAATATGATTAGCAAAGGATTTAAGTAAACAATTATCAATTTGATGGGTAATCAACCCGATTCTTGAAACAAGTGGCTAAACTGTAATTTTGGCTTGGCCAAAATTTGTCATCTAAGACTTGGGGAATTACTAAATTTATCAGACTATGGCCGAATAATATCTAGGCCAAGTCGAGAAATAAAAATTTTAAAATTTTAGAAAAGTCGAGTTAGAAAATGAAAAAAAAAAATTATTTCCGGGTCAGGTCGGACCTAAAATTTTGAGCGCGTAATTGATACTTAAATTCGAATAAAATTGATATATTTTTACATAATGCCATTTAGAGTAAACTATTTTATAGGTAATTTTAACTACAAAAACCAATTTTCATCCAAAACAAAATTTTTTGGCATAAATTTAATATTTTTTTAATAAACATAAAATATATAAAATTTCAAAAATTTGAACGTGTCGAAAATACTAAAAAAATAATCGACCTTTATTTTTTTCCCCAAGAGGACTTTAAAAAGTTATCTACTGACATCAAAAATAAGTCTCATCTTTTATATTTTTTCGAATAATATTTATTTTTGTGTGTATTATGAAATTAAGCAAAACGTAATTTTTAAACTTTAAACGCCACTCATATGTCCGAAACTAATAAATTTAGAGCAATAAAATTTCGATTGCAGTCCCCGCATAACTCACCTAACCAACTGCGTGTAGAGACCCAATAAAAAGTTTCAGCAGGCTGGGAATTTCATAGTTATGAATAATTTAACTAATGTGTGGGAGTGATGTTGTTTTTGGATTTTGTAAAAGATGCTAATTTGTTGCTAGCTAATAGTTTCAAATTTATATTTAATGAAGAAATCTTTAGAGTCACTGTCGTCTGGTCTTTGATGCTTTTTCAATTTTTATTCTTACATTTAATCTAAATAGCCTTGAATTTTGATTTTACCGGAAATATATTCCACCATGTATGGAATACCTACCCTATGATTTTCAGACAATTTTGCCATAAACTTTTGAACCAAGTATGATTTATGTTAGTTTTTCTATAGATTTTTTTAAATAAATGACTCAAAGGTTAATGGCAAAATTGTTTACAATTCATAAGATAGGTATTCTAAACATGCTGGATTACATTTACGGTAAAATCAGATTATTAAATTTAAAAAAACGCACTCAAGACATGATTAAAAATTGAAAAAATAACACATTGCCGCAAAAATATATATAGAGTTAATTCCGCGCTAAATAAACCAAAATAACACGATTTCGACCTGGTTCTTTCAGATTTTTTTAGAAATTTTGTGTATTATTAGTACCTATACTAACAAAGAAATATGTATAATTTTAGACTTTTAAAACTCATTCATTGGCACATATTTGGGTGAGTGCAAAATTTGATAAATTTTTGAATTCTGACAGGCGAATATCTCTGGAAGTTGTTGAGCTAGTTTAACTGATTTAAATCAAATACATTTTATTAACTTGATAATACAAATTTAATATTATATTAAAATTTACTTGAAAAATATTAAAAGCACATACTGGGTGAACAAATAATTTTTTTCAAATATTTCAGGTTTAAAATTTATAAAATTTTTCTAATCTCGTTCTCCTTATAAATTTTATGCATAAAATTTAAAATATTAAACAATAATTCTGATAATCAAATATGATATGAAAATGATTATGAATGATTTGGTAAAAATTGAATGAGTCTGATTTCATTTTAACCCAGTTTTTCTATTATGATATAAAAATAATTAAAAATTTTTTTGTCTTTTTATTGATTTCTTCGATTTTGGTATTTAATCAGGGAGAAAGGAAGAATGGGAAATAAAATTTTAAAAAATTTATCGGTTATGGGCCTGACTGCGAGCTGGATGGCCGCAAATAGACCTTAATGTATATTTTAAAAAATAATTTACTTCATTTTTTTTATTAATCATTATTTGATATTATAGGAAAAAAAATATTAAAAATGCAACTTACAATCAGTTATTATAATCATATCAAAATTGAAGGCTTTAGTAATTTAAGTTATTTTGAATAAAATGCTTTAGTAAGATTAAAATTGGCCAATTTCTTCCCCTTTAAATGCAAATAAAATATATTTTATATCATGTTTAATAGATGATTTTTTAAATCTCAATCTTATCCTGTAAAAATCGCCGGGGTGGCCTAGTGGGTTATGATTTAGGCTTGGAAACAGGTCCCAGGTTCAATCCTGGTAAAGAACATAAAAAATTTCAGGTTTTTCTTCACTGACTGATGTGTAAATACATATGATAAGATGAATTTCGGAGCTAAGAGATGACCACCCCGGTCACCGACAGGCCTGGACAGCTGGGTGCTAAGAATATATGTCTAATAACAAAAATGAAGGGAACAAACAAAAATAGGAATATGAAAGCTAGGGCGTTCCCTTCAAGCGACGCACAGGTGTAGACCTCCATCTTGTGAAAAGTAAAGTAAAGTAAAGGTCAAAGCAAAGAAGACAAGGTTACCAAGTTTGAATATTGGGACGCTTAAAGGTAAGACGAGAGAATTGGCATCAATGTTGAACAAGAGAAAAGTTGATATAGCGTGCATACAAGAGACGAAATGGAAAGGTCAGAAGACTTTAATGATTGGGGATGGGTATAAATTGTACTATAAAGGAATTCTTAGCAATAGGAACGGTGTCGGCATCATCCTCAGTTAAGATCTAACCTCCTCAGTGGTAGAAGTTAACAGGATCTCTGATAGATTAATGAAGATAAAACTCTGCATTCAATCAATACTACACATCCTTTCAGTATATGCTCCTCAAACGGGTGCAAAGAAGGGGAGAAAAAATGACTTTTGAGCTATCCTTGATGAAGCTGTAATGGAAATTCCTAAGGATGACCCAGTCATAATAGGTCGTAACTTAAATGCGATGGGAAAAGCAAGAGATAGCTACAAAAGGCATCATGGTGGTTTTGGATATGGAGAAAGAAATGATGAAGGAAAGTATGTACTCAAATTCGCGCAAGCCTTCGACCTTGCCTTAACCAACACATACTATAGGAAAAAAGACAGTCATTTAATAACATATGAAAGTTGTAAAAGGAAAACCCAGATAGATTACATGCTTATCTCTCGCAGAAGATTAAAAGATGTAATTGACTGCGAAGTCATCCCAGGAGAAGATATAGCCACGCAACACAAGCTACTAGTCATGGATTTACACATCTCAAATAAATCCACTCAAAATAAGATAAAACTTGAACCATGCATCAAATGGGGTAAATTTAAAACAATGACAGATGCCTTTGCAATCAATGCAAACATTGAAACAATAGATTCCTCACAAGTCATTGAAAAAATGTGGACAGACCTTTCATCCAGATTAATAGACATTACCAAATCGACACTAGGTTTGATAAGGGGAGGCAACAAATCATACAAAGAACTATGGTGGTGGAATGAAGAGGTACAAACCACTATACAGGAGAAAAAAGCCTTATATAAAATATGGTACAAATCCAAAAACCCAGATAACAAGACAAATTACAAAAAATCTAAGAGAATAGCTACAAAGGCGGTGGCTAGGGCCAAAGCTATGGCATACGATGACATGTATGAAGAACTACATACCAAAGAAGGGCAGAATAAAGTATACAGATTAGCCAAACAGCGAGGAAAGAATTCTAGGGATATAAACGGAGCTCCGAAATAATCAAAAATAAAGATGGGAAATTAATAATAAAGGAAAAAGAAATAATGAATAGATGGAAAAAATATTTTCAGGAGCTTCTCAACTTTAATCCCCACATACTACATCAAGATGAACACTTCTCGTGCTAAACTTTGACAACCAATAACAGAACAAGAAATAATCACATGCCTCAAGCATATGAAAAACAACAAAGCTAGGGGTCCAGATGATATTCCAATAGAAAGCCTTAAAGCATTAGATGATGGAATACATCTCCTCACAAATCTGTAAAATAAAATACTGAAAAATGAAGAGATTCCTTAAAAATAGAGGCAGAGCTATCTAGTTCCTATCTTCAAAAATAAAAGAGATGCACACAATTTTCAAAATTACAGGGGCATTAAACTTATGTCACACTGTCTTAAACTCTACAAAAAATAATGAGAAAAAAGGTTAAGAGGTATAATCGAAATTGGAGAGACTCAGTTTGGCTTTATACCTGGAAGATCAACAACTGATGTAAACCAAGCAATTAGGCAAATGAGTGAAAAATACAGGGAAAAGAACAAAAAGCTACACGTGATCTTTCTCGATCTAGAAAAGTCCTTCGATAGAATCCCAAGAAAACTTACCTAGTGGGTGCTACGCCAGAAAAAGGTTCCCGAAAAATATATAAGAATAATACAGGATATGATGGTCCGTAGCACAACAGGTACTTCAGAAGGCTTCACAATAGCAGAGGGAGTTCATCAAGGGTCGGCTCTCAGCCCACTTCTTTTCATTACAGTAATAGATGTATTATCACAGTCTATACCTCAAACAGTCCCATGGAATATGATATTTGCAGATGATAATGTGGTACTTAACGAATTCAAAGATGAAATGAAAGAAAGATTAGTGAGTTGGATAAATATCTTAGAAAAGAACGGACTAGAAGTAAATAGAGAAAAGACGGAGTATATGGCGATAGGAGGAGATGAGAGCATTGACATAAATGAATGGCAGATATCGGCAATGCAAATATTTGGGATCTACTATACAAGCATACGGTTCAATAGATAAAGAAATTAATCAAGGGTGGTTAAAGTGGATTATCTGGAGTGCTCTTTGTGAAAAGAATCCCACACAAATTGAAGGGAAAAATATACAGTTCCATAGTACAAACAACTATTCTATATAGTTCGGAAATAGGGCCAACCTAAGAATCAGACGAGAGAAGTCTACAAACTATGGAGATGAGAATGCTGAGGATGATTGCTAGCGTAACAAGAAAGGATAAAGTGCGCAGTACAAGAATACTAGGAAGTTTAAAGTTAGTGCCCATTAAGACTAAGATAATGGTAAACAGACTTAGGTGGTATGGGGACACAATGAGAAGACTTATGAACTACGTAGGAAATAAGGTTGTGTTTGGAAGTGATGGGCAAACGTAAAAGAGGAAGACCAAAACTTCAATGGGGCCATAAAGTTAGAGCCAATATGAAGAAGTATAAATTAGATAAGATATAGTATGAATAACATTAAGTGGAGAGATATATTGAAGGAGCTTACCACCAGAAAAGATGAAAGCTAAAGAGAAAAAATAAATAAAATCTTATCCTGTAAAATTGATATAATTTAAACCATGTAGAATCTTATTCCTAATTTTTTTTATATGTAAATACCAAGAACAACTTATATTTAAAAAAATTAAAGAAATAAAAGTCGATTACATTTTATACTCATTTCCGGTTTTTACTTCCGGTATTTGCCCTTAATACTTTATTTCGTCTCACACCTTGAATACTCAACTTTCAATAGATCATCTCAATCCTTCACCTTTAAACAGTATCCAACCAATCGGAAGACAAATTAACAATAGCCGCCATTGGTTTCCTCCTAGGGTGTGACATTGAGTCTTATACTTGTGTCAACTGTAATAACTCTAGTAGATTCGAAAGGCAAACAGGGTCTTAATTGTTTATAGTCAAGTGAGACATCAACGCCACACTTCAATAAATCTTTAACAAGGGGCCTACATACCTAACACTTTCGAGTCTACCAATCTATCCCCCGCAAACGGATTATGACCTGACGGAATAACCATAATTTCTTGGGTCTTAGATAAATTTTTATTATGGGATTTTACTTGTGTCTTTTTAACCCAAGCTGCAAGAAAAAAAATTAAAAAATACAAAGATGTCAACAATTTTATATTTATTCTAATAGTTATCTCCACAATTGTTACTTTTGGCCTAAAATTTTTATAAAACCTAAGTTCCAAGGCATTTAACCAACAAGGTTAGGAAATTCTTTTTTATCCAACAAAAATTTTAATTATTCATAATATATAAATTAATATAAATATTTTTTTTAGTTTAATTTTTGTAGCTTTTTAAATAGTTTCATATTAGATGGATAATTTAATTTTAATAAAAAAATAGTAAATATGGAAAAAAAACTAAAATGTATTAAATTTTTATAAAATACTATAGAGCTAATGTTAATAAAATATTCCAGAGGTATTCACATATAAAAATTCCAAAAATTCTATAAATTATGCATTTTGGTCCATATTTCAACCTCTTGGTAAGGTTGAAATTTAATAAATTATAATTTTTGGTTATCATAGGTATTATTTACAGTCCGGTATGGTCCGAAGACCGATTAAAGAAGATAAAAGTTTACTATGAATTACTTTAGGCCAAGCATTTTATAACATCTCATTTATCGTTTACTTTGTCTATTCTTCCATTTCATTCAATCAAGCATTTTTATTTATGTGATTTAATTTATTAGGTATTATATTTTTATTTTTATAAATGGAAATTAAAATCATAGGTGATGATAATATTATTAAATCTTCCTCGTCTGGAGGTGAAAGAATAACTATTGTTAAAAACGTAGTAGTACAAAAGAAAAATAATCAATCAAATTTGAAAGATGTTAGAGTATTTTACAAATTTTTTAGAAAGAATAATTCTAGAAAAACATGTAAAATTAGTCTCCAGATATTCTCCAATTCTTCAAGCACATGTAAATTATGTGAATTTATATTGAGAGTTCAAAATTTTAAATACATGAATTAAAACTTACTATCTATATAATGGATTTGGTAGTTTTGGCAGAATTGCCCTAACAAATGATGATAAAAATAAAATAGGGGTTACTTCAATGAAACTACCTTGGATTTATCTGGATATCCTATCTTACCATTTGTTGAATAAATAATCTTTTATTTAATATTTTTAAATGGTCCTTATTTAGGTATGTATTAAGTTGGTGGAAAACATACATACACGCATTAGAAATACTTTTATTTCGAATTCTTTCTATTCTTCTATTGATGTGCCTTTTGTAATAAAAAATGTCAAAAATGTTAACAGCTACATATAAATTTTTGCATTTTTAAATATGGGCCCTATATTGTTGGTAGCCTAGAATTAAAAAGGTTAAAATTTCTTAAATTTTTATAATTTATTAGAAAATTTCTTTTTATTTAGGTTCACATGTATAATTTATTAAATACCCCCTGAACATTGTTAAATTTAAAGAAATTTATGAAAAATATGCGAGCAGTTTATCAAGTTGTATAAAGGGAAACAAAGTATACAAAAATATTTTATTTATTAATCAATATATTTATTTAAGAAAATATCCTTGAGAAAGAGAGTAGCCAGATAGGTTCACGGGGACTGGAACATCAGTGGAAGCTGAGAAAAATGGTATAAATGAAATCCAACTATACTTATCCAATATTTTAAATTAATTCCAATAATGATTGGTGGGAAGGGAATCCATACCCAATTCTGGCATAGCAATGGACTATCTTCCATATCAGGCTATATCAGTAGCATGTGAACATATATTTCTAAACCTTTGAATAATGGATAAAAAATGGAATTATTTTTGATCTTTTAGAAGATATAGACTATTTATATATAAATCAATTTTTATAAAAAAATATCTATCACATTATAAATATCAAAATCTCATTAAATATGCAAATTGATTTATATTATATTCAATAAATTTGGTATTGGTTTAATATTATTTTGAAATATTAGGTAGTTGTATTGTATAATATAATAAAATTGATTCGATGATACAATGAAAATATTGGTAATTTAACACAGGCAAAACTAAACATGTATAGCTTGACAACAAAATATTTTAGATTGGACTGGACTGATCTAACAATCTAATGGTTTGTGACTTAAAGATCCAATGAACCAGTCCCATTTCATAAAAAAAAGACTGAACTGGATTAATGCAAACCAGGATCCAAACCAAACCATTAAACCGCTAAAAACCGGTATTTTTATCGAACCTAAATCGCTAAAAAATTTCTAGCCGAACCGCTAAAATGCCTCTGAGCCGGTTCGAGTCTTATAATTTTATGCTTATAAAATAATGTGTAATTTATTACGCTAAATTTTTAATTATATTCGAATTGTTTTAAAGATTATTATCAATCACATTTGATTAATATGTCAGTCATAATTTTTATAAACTTTAATATATTGCCATTTTACAACATTTTTTAAATATTTTAGGCTTATAAATTATAATGCCTAGAGAAAAATTAAATCCTATATATAAATTATTTACATATAGTATTATAAATGACACATCAAATCTGATATCATACTGGCAATGCCAACTACCTAAGTTAGTGTGAAAAGAGGTTTTTCAACAATTAAATTTATATTATCTATTTATAGATGTAATTTGAGTGAGAAAAATTTTGAAAATATATTAATTATGTGGCTTAATAAAAAATTATTAAGTAAATGTTCATATTAAAAATCAATGATATTTATTGTTATATTTTTAAATTAAATATTATCTTATAATGTGAAATTAATAAAAATGAAGGTTTTATGAATGTATTTTTTTTTATTTTAATTTGTTATATTTTTAAATTAAATATTATCTTATAATGTCAAATTAATATAAATGAAGGTTTGATGTATGTATTTTTATTTTAATTATGAAATAAAAAAATATTCTTCCCTATATATAATTCAAAAGTAGGTTTGAATACAAAAGTGTTCAAACCGGTTTTTAGAGGTCTGAACCAAACTGATATTTTTATTTTTTATGAACCTTGAACCGTTTTTATCCGAACCTGAACCAAACTGATATTCGTTTTGGTTTAGATCCCTGCTGCAAACACTATTCTAGGTACAATCATTATACAATTTTTTTTTAATCTGAGGGGGCCAAGTTAAAGCTCTTCCTATTTGTCAAATTTAACATAATATATGATATACAGCAAAACCTCTAATAATAATAACATCTTTCTTGAGTCATAACTTCTTTAGATAGATCCCTTTCAGTAAAAATCCTATTAAAAATGAATATAAATATATTCTTTATTTAATGATAAACTTTTGTGTGTTGACCAAAAAGTATTAGCCATTGGTTATCTTTCAGAGGTTTCACTGTATATAAAATAAGATAATTTTGTCCAAGTTATTTACCCGAGTCACCAAAAGGACAATAGACAGTGCCTTTAAAGGTTTTGATTTATTGGTAGGATTTAGCAAGGACCAAATATTGGCATCTCCTATTTCATAGCAATGAATACTTAATCCTAAATAAAAGGTTAAAATTAGGTTTAATTTCTTTTGAAATTTGGTGATTCATAGATGTCTAAAGTGTTATTAAGTAAAACATTTTAATGGCTAATATCAAAAATTTTAAAAATATATAAATTTTAGAATTATATTTACTGATATTTCTAATCTAAATTCAATTTTAAAGGAATCTCAAGGTAAAGATAATTTTTTAGTAAAAGGTATATCAATCTAGATTATTATGGAAATTAATTTAATTTTAAACATTATTAACTATAAAAAAAATAAACTAGAATCCAATGTATGTGATAACTCCCCTCTTTTAATACAAGTATCTTTATCTTTTACAGCAACCATTTCAAATATCATATTTGCTGAACATAGAGGTTTATAATTGGTAAATTTTTCAATAATATTCTGATTATACTTAAAAAAACACTAAAAATATTCGATGGATTAAAATAAAAATGTATATTGTGGCAACTTTATCCATTAGTGTATGTATTGATTCATCATCTTTGACCATAAATATTGGAAAGTCACCCCAATCATTAAAAAAGATTCCTTGTCCATGATTCCATTCAATATATTTGCAATTTTCATATTTATCAATGCCAGTATAATAATCTATTTCATTGAAAAAAAATATTAAGCTCAAATATCATTGAATATAAAGCTATATAAAAAAATATTTAAAAGATTACCAGATTTTCTGTTAGGACAGGCTTGATCTGGAGAGAAATGTGGTATTTCATCTAATTGAGTACTATTTAGTGTGTTTAACAATACAGCACCAGTTATATGTTCACAATTTTTCATTTTAATTAAATTTTTACTGATAAAAAAATAAATAATATTGAATAATATTTTACTAATTAAATAAATTAGGATATATCATAACTATGTAATCAAATTCATTATCATTATTTATCAATTTGTCCAAAACAGCTTCATTTAATACAAAATATATTATTCCATTGTTGCCACTTCCTATTTTTGCTAAGATATAAAAAGTTCATTTAACATATACTAATAAATACAGCTGCATCCAATTTGATGAGTACTATTAAGCATTCTAAAACATCCATAGCTTTTATGAATATCTAAATATATATTGTTATTATGACCCTTGGAAAAAACATTATTAATAAGAATCAGGGTTATTATAGAACAACATAAAAGTTTCATTTCAAATTAAGTCCATATGGACAAGTGAATGCCCGCGTTCCGCATAAATTATTCATAAGAAAGAAAAGTAAGAATGAAAGAAAGCAAGAAAGTAGGAAAAATATGACAAAATTCATAAATATAATATTTAAAAAAAATTGTTAAAATTCAAAAAAAAATTTTTTATAATTATAAACTTCAAATATGGCATTTTTTTTTAAATATTCAATATTTTGTATAATATAATTTAATGCTAGAGTATACCATTTTATTTGTTATCAATATCTAGTAAATTATATCTTCGCTTTCACTGTAACCCTAACAACTAAACGCTTTATCCATAAATATTCTTTCTTTCTTTCTTTCTTTCTTTGTAGATAAAGATATTTAGTATATAATAATTTAAAAATATAATCTAGTTTTGTTAAATGGATAGATTTGAGCCGATTTTTAAAAACGGCTAACACGATATTCTATACAAAAAATTATTGTCCAATCGAGATTTCTCTAATAAATGTCCGCACCTTTGTGCCACCTAGGATCAAAATCTGAAGGCTTGCATTATATTTTTCTGAGTAAAACATTGAGTTAGCAATTTTTAAAAATCGGCTCAAATCGTGCCGTTTAACAACACGAATATAATCCCATATTCATCTTAGTCAAGATCATTTATTTTAATAATTATTGCTTCTTTTAAGAACTTAATATTTTTTTCTTCCTTTTATTTTATCATATTTGAACCTTTGAAAATTACTAAAATATTATTCAATATAGATATTACATTAATATTATATAAACAAAGTAATCTATTAATAATTACAATATATAAATAATGATGAAAGATTGTAAGGTTTATAAATTATGATATAAAATTGCAAGTGCTTGAGAATCTCTTTGTCATCTATCAACTAAAAATAATATGTGTTGAAATAATTAAGAATGATTAATAATTTTGATTCTCATTTTCATCAAAGTTAGGCAAAATAGATTTATAATTCCTGGAATAGTTGCGAATATTTTCTACGAGGGGAAGGGAGTAGGGGGTGAATTTTTTTTTACATTGAAATTTTTTTTGGAGCATTAAAAATATATTAGAACTAAATCTAATCATCAAATATAATTTATTAGAACTAATCATCATATAAAATATTAGAACCAAGCATATATTACTAATTTTGAACTCAAATAATAAAATATTGGATAAATATTAGAGCAAATATAATACGGCTAATAAATATTATAACTATATAAACCGGTATGTAAATCACAATAATATATAAAATTCAACATTTTATAATGATTTAAAAAGTTATTCAAAATATCACCCATAAATGAAAATTTAATCTTCTATGCGAAAACGACAATTTTAATAATTAGTTATGAATTGGGGATTAGTTTTCGAGGAGTAATGCTGTATATTCAATTAATTTTAAGATATGATCTTGATATAAGTTTCCATTATGTGTAAATAAAAAAGATTCCCTTATTTGTGCTTAATTGGTATCATTTACAAAATATATAATAATTTTATTAATATTAATTTGGAAAACTTATTAAATATATTTAAAGTATGTAATGATTTCACTGTATTTCTTGAGGATTATCTACAAAAATGAATCTTTTATTCATGTATTTAATTTATGAAATTAATTGACCTTGAGACAAATTTATATAGTATGAATAAAAATTAGTTAAATATTTAATTTTTCATTATAAAGATTTGATACATCCTTAGATCAGATAGAGTCATAAGTAAATTATTTATTGGATAGAACCTTTTGATAAATCACCCTTCGTTTATCGATTTGGGTCAAAATTAAATCCCAAAATGGAATAAAAACGGTTATTTTATAATAATCCTCAAATGAGTCTACATTAATATTGGTACAATTTATTTGTCGATGAAAATCGAAGCTTGTCAACAACCAGATAAATCTCAAGAAATTCCACGTCGATATTATCTTTTGGTTCAAGCTACAGTATAATAATATTTGCGATTCTTATAACTTCAGCCAAATTTATTTATTTGAAAAAAATTTGATAAAATTGTTGTGTAATAAAATAATTTATTAATACATTTCAATGAAAAAAAATCGACAGTCATATTAAATCTAATAATGTATCAACTTCAGATGGAATATGTGTTTCAGGTGATTCTGATATTTCACCAAGGGCATAGAAAATAGGAGATCCAAAAAATACTGAAACAGTTTGATGTCGAAGGCTCCATTTATCGTGCAGTATTTTTGTGGTTTCTTTTTCCTACAGCACAAGAAGTCTCAGAAATTTATATTCAGCAAATGCTGAATATGTATCTGAAAAATTCATATATTTTAGAAATTTTGTCATATTTATTAATAGAAATACAGTAAATATAATTTTTTTTCCGCTTGATAAATTTCTTATATGCATTAGTTTTTACAGTTTAAAAAACGTAAGAATAAACTTTAAATTTTTACGTGATAAAATATTAATACAAGAAATAAATATTTTAACTTTTGCTAATATTAGAATAGAACACTTTGCAATTCACAATTCATGAAGCCTTTCTATATTTTTTCAAAAATTCTTGCTACGGGGGTGGGGGATTTCTCTCCCTCCCTCTGGCTACGCGCCTGCTAGTGATATGTGAAAGTATATAAATATATTAGACATTTTAAATAATATTATATCGTAAAAGAAATTATGAAATTAAATGATATGTTTATTAATTTATAAATATGAGTTTTTTAAATATTAAATTATTTATTTATAAATTAGGTTTTATTATGTAAAATTATTAATTTATAAATTAGGTTTTATTATGTAAAATTATTAATTTATAAATATTTATTTAATACTAGGGCATTTTTTAAAATAATTGTTAAATATTAGTATAACATAATTTAATGTTTAAGTATGACAAAAGGAAAAATACAAGATCATTTTTTTGTTTCCCATATCTGGTAAAAAAAAATTCCCCTTTTCATTGTAATAGGATTTTAAAACATTTTAAATATTAATCCTCATCCTACCCCTCAGGTGATATATCAGGACATTTTAGGATTACTTTAGTTGATCGAATTGAAATTGTTTTATGAGGCGCTTTTGGCGATGTTTTATGTATGATGTTTCTCTTTTCAAATTAACAGGTTGCTTAAATGAATTAGGGGAATAGAATATCCGTGGAGTTTATTAAAGCATGTATATTGAACGCAAACAAGTTTAAATCGTTTTTACGCCAAGATTTCGATAAATATTTAAAAGGCCAAAACTATTATGAAAAATAACTGCTTAAAAATATGGAAAACAAAAATATTATTTGTAATTGTAAGTTATATGTATAGAATTCGATTTTAATTATTTAATGTTTATAATACAAGGGAAAAAAAAATTACTGCATCAAATACATCTTTAAAATTCAAAAGCTTTATTTAAAATACATAAAAAAAATATGTCCCCTTTTCCACTAATCAGGATCTAGTAAACCCCTACACAATAGTGTTGTCATCGACAGATATACATATAATACCGATTTCTCTAATAAGATATTTTTGTTGCATGCGCCTAATGTTATTTTGTTTTATTTAGATTTCGATTGAATGTAATGCTATCTAGACTGTCGATTATAGATTAACATTAAAAAGTTACATAAATTATATGACATTTAAAGATATTCAAACGAGATATGAAAAGCATTTGGAAGAAATGTCTGAATCGTCAAATGTAATCAAAAAAATGCGGAAAAAATTTTAAAATCTTATTGACTTAAATTATGGGGTATAAGTTTATTTATTAAATAAATAAGATTTTAATTTTTGGGGAGATATAAAATAAGGATCGTGATCTTTTTTACGATTAATGATGCTCCTTTAAAAATGATTTTTACACAAAAATGAAAATCAATGTAGAATATCTTGAATAAAGCTATAAATTATATTCTTGATCTAAATTTACTGATAAATATTATTCTTATAAATGTAATAAAAAATATTTTTAATAATACAAGCATTGAAACAATAATAGAAATAATAAAGAACGAAATGAACAACTTTAGCTGCTATTTCATTAATGTTAAAAATTTTAATAAACAAATTACTACTGAATCAAAAATATGAAGTGTTACTTGAGGAAAATAAAAGTGCAAAAAAAATAGGAAGGAATAAATCATAACAATGAAAATAACATGGATTAAATTAAGATAGTTAATTTTAAAAATAAAAGGGAATGAAATTGAAATTTATGGAAGTGCTTGAATAGAGAAATAAAATAAATTTAAAGGTGAATAGAGTAAATCTAGAAGATTAAGTGAATCATATATATATATTATGAATTAAATAAATTTTTAGGATTAGATTAATAGCATAAACAAAATTAAATCGCGAATAGAATAAATCCAGGGGACAAGGTTAGTGACAAAAATGAAAAAAATAAATGATAAAGAGCTATAAAGGAAAGAAAAGAAAGAAAGAAATCGTGCAGTCACTATTTATAACATAGGGATAGCTTAACAGATCAAAAGTCAATAAATTAAAAAGCGTTAGAATGATAAAAATTAAAAGATAAACAAGATACATTTAGATAAAAGAAATGGAAAAATTGTGAAGATAAACCTAAAAATAACGCCTCATTCAAATGAGACAAGAATTTATTTAATTAGTAACATCAATTTTGGAAAGATAAAAGAATAAAAATGTGTCCACAAATTTATATAAGAGGATCCGAAGGTTTAAGGGAGCAATTAATAAAAATAGGGAACAAGATAAAAAATAAGAATAAGATTGTGAATAAAAGGATCTGATTTGATTTATAAAACATTAAAAGGAGAATTTGTACATAATTGCCAATTAATTTAAAATTACACGAATGGGACTACATTTAAGAAATTTAAATCAAAACTACTATTTAAGTTGCGATAGAGTAATAATCGATAAATACCCCACCCCATCAATCTCAATGGCAATCTTGCATCAAGAGCATAATTCCCTCCCCATTCCAGAGTAGTAAACTGAAAAAAATTATTAAAATTAAACCATATTATCATGATAAATTGGAATTCAATTGATCACTAGAAAGAGACTCTA